ACACCACAGATTCTGTACCTATCCATGCTCAAACTGTGTAGAAAATGAAAATAGTTTTGAGAAGGAGTGCAATGCAAATAACTTGCATCCATTAAATGTAGCTTAAACAGGGGGTGAGCATATTATACACACGATCAGGAAGTGCATAGTGTTTACACAGGCTTGTATTTGGGATGTAATTCTGGAATAACAGTTAAAACAGGATTTCTTAAATCCTCTGCTTTGTCAGCATTCCTTGGTAGAAGGGTTTACCTTTTTAAAAATGGTTACTTTTGTACTTCCTCATTGAATCCATGGAAAAACAACACTTAAGGAAGCCAAATTAACTCCACTTTACACACCCAAACCAGTAGCTGAAAATGATATGTAAGGTAAGGAGGCCTTCTTGTACTGCCTGTTGAAGCTGGTGATGCTTGGTCTTCATTTTGGAAGTTTTGTTAATACAGCAGGCTCAGAGGTGGACAAAGACTTAGATTTGCCGTGGCCTTCTGTGTGTAATCAAGCCTGAAAGATGCTTCTTCTAAGCCACACCTGCATTAGATAAATACAACTGCTCGTGTGCATCTCAAAATTTATAAGTTTCTAGTTTTGATCTTACAGTAGTGAAAACAGATTTCATGATCTTTTTGCAATCCTTGCAGGAAAAACGAGGCTTCAAGTTAAAACCCTGGAAAGCATTATTGTGAGGTGAGATGGGAAAGCAGAGTTTGTGGGGATATCTTTTATCACACCAGCACCTGCTGTGTCTGAGGGTATTCATTTAAAATTATCAACCAGTTGAATTTGTATCCCATTAAAAATGGAAAGATTTTCACTAAAATTGTTCATTGTTCCTAATTGTTCCTAACAAAAGAAAAAATAATCCTAATTCCTATTGTTCCCAACAAAAGAAAAAAAAAACCCAGAAAAAATATTAAACAAAACTGATCCCCCCATCCACAAAAAACATCTGTTTTCATGTGGAAAGCCAGTTTCCTAGTAGGCATTTATCAAGGACTAAGGCCACTGGAGGAAAGCGGTATTACATAAATTAGATGTGAAGTTCTGAACTAAATAAATTTTTAAATATCTTGCATAAATTAGGGACATTAAATGATGCACAATGTGCATAATTTCATCCTTTTGTAAATGATGTTCCCACAGTTAGTGATTAAAGAACATGGTGCAGCCCCTCGAGTTTGAACAATTAGACCTTCCACAGCTCTGTCTATAGATAAGATATTCCTTAAGCTCAGCAAGGGAACAGAAGCGTGCACTAGCACTTGGCTATGATCTGCTCCCTGTTTTTGATGACTTAAGAGGGCTGTTCAGGACAGAGTATCAGCCTATATGAACACTATCAACCAGCTTGAGCAAGTCAGATTATTTAATTAGCCCTATTAAGATCCTTCTATTTTTATAACTTATTTATGAGTGTTCTTGCTAAGCTTAGAAGGTCCAGCTTCAGATATCAAAAAGATGTTTTCAGCTCATGTTGTTAATCTTGAGGGGTTTTATACTGTGACTCCATTAATTTTTCACCTAAGAAAACAAAAAGGGGCCGTGAAAATCAGTTGGAAGTTGGGAAATTCACATCTGCAGTCCTCACATGCAGTTTTCAGGCATAGGGCATTTATGATGTCCATGCATGATGGACATTTGCTTGGTTGCCAAAATATGTATTATATGCCTTTGCCTTAGACCATCAAAAATCCAGAGAATGTTTATTTAATACCCATTTGAAGTGTCTTGGTTTCCCCCAGGGGCGAAATGTTCCTCAGGCATCACTTAAAGACTGCCACGCTGTGAGTATCTGACTTGATGTCCTGTGCTGAGAAAACAAGGTGATGCTTATTTTGAGCATCTGCTTTGCCACCCTTTTACGTTCTGCTTTTATCCAGGTTTTTTGGGAGAAGCAGGCAATGATTTGATGAAAGAACTATTAAATCAAACATTCATGTTTACCAAAAGAAAAAACTTCTAAAGCAATTGTGTCCAGAATTTAATACCTGTGTCATGGCTGTACCTTCAGTGTTTGAAAAGGCTCTAATTTCATCACAAGAGTGGAATTCTTATCCACCACCCCAAAATTAAATTCATTTGCAAAGGGAAAAAAAAAAAAAGTAAAATTCTGATGTCTGAATTCAGTCAATGAGCTTTTTCTCTCTAATGGGATCACTCTGGGCTAGTTTGGAAGATGAAAACTTCTCAGGTATGGAGTAACTTCATGCTTTAAAAAAAAATATCACTGGTGGTTAAATGCTGGCTTGTGGCTTGAAGCTCTGGCAGTTCTAGTATTAGTAAAGAAACAGTTAATTAAACAAAGATCAGTCCCTAGGTGATGCTGAAACAATGATTTGGAAGTAAGGTTAAGGCATTTTGAAAGTGGAGGGTACCCGTGTGAATTATGGTTCTGCCCAAAATTATATCAAACAAATGTAGTTTGGATAAACTGATGCAGATGGCATCTGCCAGCTCACTTCTGGAGGTCTTATCCAACTTCAGCTGCAGGTGACTGTACAAAATTTTATCCTCTTAGAAGGGAAGTCTTTATATTTGCTTTAGTGCATTATGTCATCAGTAAATTATTTTAATAGCAAATAAGCCTTTATTACTTTTGCTCTTGCTTTATTGCATTTGCTGCTCTACATTCAATATGTACAGCATTGGCACAAGATAGCTTGCATGCTCACTACTGCATTAGCAGGAGAGATGGAAACTGTGTTCCAAGACCATAATACTTTGAATTTAGTACTGTTAAAGCCAGAAATAAAAAAAAAAAACAATCAAAAAACATCAACAGTTGCTGCACATCAGGCTCTGGTAAAAAGCTAGGTAAAAAGCTAGGAAATAAATGAAGCAAGTTTCTCACAGAACTGTAGAATATACTGAGTTGAAAGGACCCATCAGGATCATTGAGCCCAGCTCCTGGCCCTAGTTCTGGAAGGTGCCAAGATGAGACAAAATTAACTGTTTCCAAAGTACCAGGGTATTTTTGGAGACAGCTTTCAGGTTAAAACAGAACTGTGGGTAATTCAGGATAGCACTATAAATTAAAAAAGGGACAACGATAAAGAATGTAAAAAATACTTAGCATAGTATTTGAATATGGAGAGTACTGATCAAGTGAATTCTGCACACAGGTTTAGGCAACACTGAAAAAAATCTCACCCCTTGCTCCACAATTAAGTATTGAATAGGACACAGAAATAACATGGAATTCAAAAACTGAGATAAATTATGTGGATTATTGTTATTTTGATAAACTTGTTGAACAAAGAGCCTACTGTAGTAATCTGCTTTGCCTGTGTATATACCTAACTGAAGGGATTTCTGATGCTGGGGAGCACTGCATGCAGCAGCTGCAGCACTAAAAGTAGCAGTCTTGAAGAGATAGTCCTGACATGGAGAGGAATAGAAATTTGTATCAACAGGCAAAAGAAAAAAACACACAGTTTAGTTTGAAAGCAATCTTTCACTTGCCGAATTAATTTTAACATTATGTGTGTGGAGTAAAAGTTCCTGTAGAACCTGAGGAAGGTCTTGCACACTCCAGTGAGCAATTTTTTGCATTGACATCACATGTGGTAAGAGGATACCAGCTCTCCTGCAAATCTGACCTGATTGCCTGAGGAAGACAGCCTTGCCTAGATTTTCATTATTGCTGGTGGAAGGTGAAGTAGCAACAACTGGGTTGATTTAATGAAGTTGCTTTGGATTTCTACCCTTCTGCCTCACAGGCAAAAATGTCACATAAAAAGTCATTTTACTTAAGACTGTCATACAATTATCTCTTCAAATGTTAACTTTTTTATACCCTTATGACCTTGTGTGGCATCACTGGAGTTGGTACATACTGTTACCAGGCACTTCTGGCTTAGGTGCCTCAGAAGGCAAAGTACTCACTGAGTGTTGTTTTACCTTTTTCACAACATAAATTTGGAGCCAACTGAGACAGAGGTTTTCAAATAGCTTGAAAACCCAACAAAACCTGTTTAATTTTGTTACTGGAGAACTGCTGGCAAAGAACTAGGCTCTCTTGCCAGTGACCCAGCCATTACATAGGCTCAGATATCAGGGATGCCCCTGTGTGACTGTTGACAAAGAACAGGTCTGTCCAGTCCCTCTGTGTTGTTTCCTTCCCTGCTCACTGCTTGGGAAGCTTTTTGCACATCAGTGTAATGAGGTTGCATATGCTCAGTCTTGGCTTTCTTGACCTTTCCTAGATTGGCACCTGATGGGACAACAAAGCAAAATAATCTTGTTTGGCCTATTACACTGGGCTGAGTGTTACACTCCCCTTTCCATGGATCCATCCAATGTTCCATGCAAAGGAGACATGGTTTGTACAAGGTCAGTAAGGAAGCACAGTGCTGTGTGCCTCCACTGCTCAGGAAAACTGCGGGAGACATTTTTGAAAATGATGTGTCAACAATTCCATGGTACAGGGAGTTTGGAGAGGAACTTCCCTGGGCACATCTGGAAAATGAGGATAAAGAAAAAGTGTGTGACTGGAAATTTTGTGTCTGTGCAGTTAGATGGATCCCTGGTAGGAGATGCATTTGCAGGCTTGATTGCTGAAACCATTAGTCTCAGTGCTGGTCACTCTTTATCTCTTGTTCTTTACTACTGTTAGAGAAACAGACAGGCCAAGCATCACTAAAATTCTCCTAGAATTAAACTGCATTTGATATACATTCCTTCTTGTCTGAAATAGTAAGTATTTTTAATTTGCTGTTTCTTTTAAAAAACTCCCATATTTCAGAGGGTTGTAACTCCATGCCTTCCCTCCCTTTCATTGTTCACTGTTGTGAAAACTTTTTTTCCAAGCAATTAATAATGGAAGAAAACCTGCAAGGGTAATACTGTTAACCTGAACACAGAGTGAGGTGAAGCTCATGACCTGAGAAGTAGTAGCTTCCAAGTGGGTTTCTTATCCAAGCACTGCGGAGGTGCAGCATAATTTTGAAGTACTTTTTCAGCTTCATTCATGAATAAGACCAGTATTTTTCATAGTTAAGTTATGTATGAAAAGGTGGGTATTTTATTATTTCCTTTTGTCTTAGTTTTTAAAAGCTTGATACATGTAGCGTTGGATCAAGGCACACACAAGACTGGCCAAAGGGCATACAAAGCACTTTGGTTTTTAGTTGAAGAAACAGAATGATTATTGCAACAAAGAGTGGCTTGGGGTTTAAACATGAAATAGCTCATAGTTCAGCAGGAAGGCAGAAAGAAACATGTTACCTTACAGATTTACCAAGGAATTTCTGGATAACTGTGACAGTAATGGGCAGTATTCCTGACTGTAACAGCATTATAATGAACACAGACTCGTATATTCTTCAGAATAGCTGCATTCTCCATTTGTCTGCTCACCTTTGGGACCACCTTAGTTTTTGAGATCTTGCTTTTATTGCCTGGGGTTTTGTCCTGCTCTCTTTTCTTGTGAAACTGCACTTTAAGCCCTTTTTCTTTTCAAAGCAGTTTGAAAGAGTTGTCTCTGTCTTCCTGCCCTTGTCTCCCAAATGCCTGTGAGCATCTGTGGTATTCACATTCTCTGAAGAGAGACAGACATGACTCTCTCTCTCCCAGGATTTTTCCTGGGAAGTTGTGAAACACAGCAAGAAAGTTCAGAGAAAGAAGGAAACAATTCTTATCTCTATTCACTGCTCCTGTTTCACACATGTGCAATGTGTTATGGAGATTGTTTACCGAAGAGTGATTTGTTAATTGGACACTGGTGAAGGTTGTTTGGACTGACTGGCCAATTGGGTCAAATCTGTGTTGTGACTGTCTGGAGACAGTCTGGAGACAGTCACAGGTTTTTCTTTAGTATCTTTTTAGCATGATATAGTTCTAGTATAGTATAGAATTAATGTAATATAATTTAGCTTAATAAAACAATTTATTCAGCCTTCTGCAACGTGGAGTCAGAGCACATTATTCCCCCTTCAAGGGTCACTGCTTCAATAAGCATCCATCACTATTTTGTCTGTAATATACAGACCACTGATTCTGATAACCAAAAAACTATTCCTGAACTGTATCTACCCCCTTGGTTTGTAGAGCCTACCACTTTTTTTTTAACACTTGTCAAAAGATTCAGTCTCATGCACATCATCAATTTGATTATTCTAATTTAAATTGGATTTCACCACTGTTGAATGGATATATCCAGACAGCTGATATTGCCCATTACTACACACATTTTTGTTTATTGAATATTGTTGTGGTTTACAGATTTAATAGACTCAACACTGGAAGTTCTGTGAGTTTTTGTAACCACTTTTTGATCTTCCTGATTTGCCAGGTTCAACATTATTTTATTGATACCAAAGTGAAAAATGACCTGTGCTTACACTTACAAGGATCTCAGATGAATGTTCTGACTGCTCAACACGGCAAGAAAATTCACTTTCACAGTCAACAAGTCATCTTACTCAGTAGAACACAAAAGTTAAATGGTCTGTAACTTCAATATTAGCAAGGAAAATACAGTACAAATTACTAAAAAATACTAAAATATAGAATTGTGGTCAGGTATCCCCACTACATTAATCGCAGCAGTAGCCTGAAATTTGAAACTTTTAATAAAAAGTTCTTAAATATAAATTATATGGCAAATGTACAGTACATTGCTTTGTCAGTCTTTTAATCCAGTGTTTTGCAGTAGAACAGCGACTGTTAAGTCAGTCTTTTCTTGTTTTCTTTAAAAAACAAAACAAACCCAAAAAACCCAACAAAACCCAAACCAGTCTTTCATGTCCCTCAGTATCATGAGTGTGAATGATCTGAATCTGGAATACCACTGTCTCTGTAGCTCCTGTTACTACTGCTTTCACTGTGGCTGTTCTTGTACAGATTCATGCCATTAGGTGGGAAAATGGTGTGTATTACAAATTCCTCCTTGGACACTTGGTCACTGGTTATTGGTATCATCTGGAAAGAAGTCTCCCTGATTTCCAAGATGGAGTTATCCTTCTTGGTTCCTGCTTCGGCATAGTCATCTTTTCTCCGGCGTCCCTTGCTGTAGGTGCAGTTCCGGGAGAACAGGGACCCGTTTCTATGGACGTACCAGCAGACCAGGGCCAGCAGCCCTATGGCCACCAGTGCCACCACACCACCGATGATGGCGGCCAAGGGCAAGCTGGAGTTTTTGTAAGGTTCTTTCTCCTGCTCCCGATTGAGGGTGGTGGTAGGGTTGTACATCTTAAGAGGTGCCGTCTCGGTCTCGATGCATTCGGGCGTTTCATCGGAGAGATAGATATTGCTGGTTTCCATGGGAACCATGCACACACGGTATGGTGACTCTGGTTCGAGAGCCGTGAGCAAATAGTCATTTCTGTCGCCTGTAACTATAGTTTCAGTTATAGATCCAAAGGCAGGGCTGTGACCCATCTTGAGCCAGCTCAGTCTCAAAGCAGTCATTGGTAGTGCAACTTTCCAGGAGATGTGAATAGTCTCCGTGCTTACGGATTTCACAAATATTGTAATGATTTTGCGTACTGGGCTTGCTGTGGTTCTGTAATTTTTATTTAGGTTGGGAGTCTTGATGTCTGGTTGTTTGGTCACAGAAATAGGCCAGTGTCCCTGGGCTGGGTATAACGTGTTTGGTACTGCAGTAGTGATTTGGATGGTGCTTACCATGCTATCGTCCTTACAGTCAAACAGTTCTGCGCTGAGGTCTTTGATAGCCATTCCACGTACCTTTTCTGGTGCCTGACACATCAGTCCACGTACGTTCACTTTTAAAGGCAACGACTGTAACCAGTCACGTACCCATTTCATTTTGCACCCGCAGTGCCAAGGGTTGTTGCGAAGAAAAAGTTGAGTGATGTTGTCTAGATCATCAAAGACACCCTGAGGTAAATTGCTGAGATTGTTATTGGACATATCTAGGCGATACAACTGCCGTAAGTAAGAGAAAGCATTGGGTGGCACACGGTTGATATGGTTTTCTTGGAGATAAAGCTTTCTTAGGTTTGTTCCCGGCAAATTCACCGGTGCAGCTGTGAGTGAATTGCGAACCAATGACAATTCTGTAAGATTGACTAGATTAATGAAGACTTTATCTCCCAATCCATGATTATTTAGAAGATTTCCATCTAAAACAAGGCGTTTTAGATTTGTAAGGTCTTGAAGGGACAGCTCAGAAATTGTGGAAATACGATTATCATCCAAGCGTAGCTCTTCTATGGTTTTAGGCAAACCCCAGGGAATGGTGCTAAGGTGATTTCGAGAGAGAAAAAGAAGTCTGAGATAGATGTTGTCCCGGAAAGCTCCATCCTCAATGCTAACGGCAGAAACAGAATTATCATCCAAATGCAGTTCTTCCAGATAAGGAATTTTTGAAAGTGAATCATAAGTAATGGTCCTTATATTGTTCTCCTGCAAATGCAGTTCCTTAATGTACTTAGGGAGGTTAGTGGGGAATTCATCTAGGCTGTTGCGGTATAAATATATTCTTTCCACCCTAAGCAAGTTCTTCAGTTCTGAAGGAATCCCAGCATTATTTATTTGATTGTTCTGAAGGAAGAGGGTAGTTGCATCCTCTGGGATTCCTGTAGGAATAGACGTCAAATCGCGATCATTACAATATATGAAACCCACATCACAGCGACATACTGAAGGGCATGGTTTGGCACTAACAGAATAAGGTGCCATGTCAAGTAACAGCCCTATTTTAGTCCAAACTAGGAAGATGCTCCAGGTAACACTAATCATGGTCAGGAATGATGAGATTTCTATACAGTTCTGATCTTCAACAATCTAAAAAAACCAAACAAACAAAATTATCCAGATCATCAGTGAATAAACCGCAATTAAAAAAAATCAACTTCAACATTACAGAAGACATCTAAAACACATTAAACCAAAACTCAAGTGCGTAGATACATTTTACTCTCTTTTCCTTGCATCAATAATTCTACTACTTGTACTAATTAACTGCATAGTGATTGAAAATAATATAATCAAGTGTACCTGATCTGTGAATTATTTTGCTTAAGCAACAAGACTCTTTCTAAGGATTCCTTCCCATTTCATATATACCGACAATCTTTGTTCACAGATACCAGATAAGTACAGAACTGAAGTCACACCAGAGTTCAAGTAAATCATTCTATATCTGAAAGATAAGAAGTAATTCCTAAGCCAGCTAACTTCCTCAGGAGCCCTTAAGTGAACTATAAACCCCTTACAAACCTACAAGTCTAGTGGTAGCTATTTCAGAAGTTCAACAAAAGCCCTAAAAGCAAAGCATAACATGCAGACAAAAGAGTGAGGGCCAGTGAAGACATTTTTCCAAGTCTTTCCCAGTGCTCAACTTCACAGTGTGTAACTTAGAAACACTGTGGAGTATTTTGCTTGGTTTTCAAGCTTAAGTGACTGCTCAGAAAGGTGAATGTTACAACTGGTAGAGCTATGGCTTTCTAGTTCACTGGATGAAATATTTCATTACATGCTTAATTTAATGTTTAAATATTTGTCATTCTCAAAAGTTGTCTTACTAAGTAGCACACTCATAAGAGTCTATTTGGCAGGTTTAACCACATTTTCCCATCTTATTACCAGCATAGTATAAATTAACTCTTGAGACTGAGATTTTCCTCTGCATTGGTAGTGTGTTTGTACACTGAGCTCAGGTAATTAGCATTTTTATAGCTTTTAAGACAACATAATTCAATTACCATTATAATTAGGGTTGTGAGAACTCCTGCAAGATGACCTATGCATTAAGCGGTGTCATGACCTTTTCTCTTACGGGTTCATATATTAATTGAACTTTATTCTCAGAGGCATGAAAAGGAAAATAAATTTATATTGATCCTACCGTATTTAAAGGTATGAGTAAGTTTTGTGCTTGAGGATATCCAGTAAAGGGATGTCTTTCTGCCCAGTCACTCTTACGCTTTAGTCCATGCAGCAGTTTTTTCTCGATGGTGTTTACTCAGATAGTCCTTGGTGGTGGTGGTGTGTGTTTCCTGGCTCCTGGCACGATACTCAATGAGCATTCCAACCAAGATTTATCATGGTACATAAGCACACCAGGCCCCAGTGCAGAAAAGCTTCAGCTTCCTTCTATTTTAGTCCTCATGTAAAGTCTGTGAATGAAGAGCCTCTTTTGTTTGGTTTAATGCCTTTAGCAGGAATTACTTTCTTTGTAACTCTTACAAACTCTTCTGTGCAGCATAGTAGTCAGAGGAGGGAACTTTAGTGCCGCGTGATACAAACTATTCATTATGCTGAAGCTTGAAGGATTGCAGCCTCTTCAGGAGGTCAGGAAAGGGATGCTTTTTCCTATCCAGAATTATCCAAGTATGACCCTTGTACAGTAGTACATCCTGGTACATCCACACCTCTTTCAGAGAACCATTTTCCAACTCTTACTTCTTAACATTTCTTCCAAATTTGTAATGCAGGAAAGAATTCCTCCTGTGCTGCAAGAATGTAAGTTACTTTACCACAGAAACATCAGGCAATTCAGATGGTTTTCTTCATTATAAAAAACCCCCACAAAAATATGATTTCCTTCCCAGAAAACTCCCCTTTGAAAGCTTTCCTTGAACTCTTAATGTCCTGCAAAAGTAAAAACAAAAAAAATGGAATTAATATCAACTGGTACACACTAGTTTTAAGGGTTGCATTCCCTGTACATGAGTAGCACACCTTGTTTCCCCTAGGCATTGGTATTTCAGCAAAATCCACAGAACTCTTTCAAAAAATGTTTTGCTGTGTAGTTTCATGTTACTGCAGTTTTGCTGGAACTATTTTCCTTTGTTTCAGTAGAAAAATAAAGACAGAGTGTAATAAAATATTTGTAAATTATGTTTTTCATTTGATGTCAACTGCCAGTGTTACCTCCTTGGAGGAGGCCAAAATGGTTGCTTGCTTTGTGTTCCTGGTAAATAGATGATCTTCTCCTTGGTTTTGAGTGTAAAGGGAGCTAATAACTCTTCACTAGCTACTGGGTGAAAGGGAAAGCATTTTTGTCAAAATATTGTATGTATTTCTGACATGCAGCATGTTGATTCTGAGCTAGGGACTAGCCAGGCATTTGTGTCTGCTTTTTGGCAATACATAGGTGGGTTTAGGTTGTAAAATTTCTAAAAAGAAGAAAAATATTATTTCTTCTATTTGTATTTCTTACAGAATATTAATTATTTTTTAAACAGCATTCTTAACTTGGGCTAGTTTGTATCACTACTGCGTAAAGTATCCAGTGAGATACCAAGCCCCCAGCGAGTTTGTAGGTAGCATGTCTAAAATAAAAGTGGTTAAATCTGAAATTAAACAAATCCTTAATGTGTACTTGCTTTTTTCCCCTTTTGTGACTTCACGTTTGTCCAAGGGGCTGAGCACAATCCTTGGAAGCAAAATACTTGGCAGGAACAGTGTGCTGAGTAATGCTTGCTTAGCTGCCTTCCTGGGAGCAAAACTAGAGCATCTTCTGCTCCTCCATAAAATACTTGACCTAAACACAAACACTCTCTGTTTTAAAAATGCCTTTTGCAATTTGTAGCAGGTCTGTTATGAAACAGACCGGTCATACTTCTTACAGCAACACAGAATATGCAGTGATAAATTTAAATAGATAGAAATTTTGCTGCTCTTTTTCATAGAAAAAAGTTAACCATTAAAAAAACCAAACCCCAAAGCCCCCCATTTGAGAGATGGTGTGACTACCCATCATGCGAGGGAGTGGAAAAGACTCTTCTCTCCTGCTGCTGCTTTCCTGTTCCTCTGAGCTTTGTTTTCAGCATCTTGTTTGCAGCAGTTGTCCAATGAAAAAAAAACCAAACAACTCAAAATGAGAGAACCCTACGTTGGCATAAATAAGTATTTTTATGTATTCTTTATTTAAGGCAAAAGCTCAACCTCTCTGGCCACATTTTAGAATAGAAGGGAATGCATGTTTAGTGGTAACTTATGTAATTTGGGTAAATTATATAATCATTATGAAATGGAACAAGAAAAGCTCTGTATTCTTCCAGTGTCTAGTTTTCTTGCTCTGTATTACTCAAGTGTTTGGGGAAAGAAGCCCAGGCTGTATTCCTAAAACTCTGAAATAAAGAGCAACTTAACAGCTGTAGAAAAAAATGGTGTCTCTTAGGAACTAATGTGAAGTCGTGATAGAAGGTATTTTCTGGAAGGGTATGGTGAAACAGGAATATAAATTCCTTTAATAGGCCTTTGAAGGCTACAGTAACTTTTAAGTACTTAAAATCATAAATTTTCTTTAGAACTCTGAGCTGTAAAGAACTTGTTAGTATTAAGCAAAACGTTGGCTCTAGTATGCATACATTTCATAGATACATGCACACGGCAATTTCATTTATTTTACCTTTCTAGCACAAAAACTCTTTCCTCTGTGCTTCAGTTGATAGTCATCTCTTCATTTATTGCCACTATTATAATAGCAGTAATGTGCAGGATTAAAATGAAAGCACTAAAGCTCATTAAGTTCCTGGATTTTTTTTTATCCTTTCTCTCAAAATTACGTGAAAACAAGAGTAAGGAAAAGAAAAGGTCTCTTTGGAGAAAATGACACTGTTTCAAAAATGTGGATTAAGGCTATACCCCCCACTCCCTTTTCTAAACTTAGAATAGTTTTCTTCAGGTCTTGATTGTTTGATATCTCGCACTTCCCTTTTATATCTCAAGCTATAGCTGAAAACAATGTTTTTGCATTTCAAAGGCTCCAGTGATGTGTCTACAGAGAAGAAGGGAATCGTGCTGCCATGCTCCAACTTTCCCCTTCTTGAGCTGTCTCTAAATATTTCCTGACACCAAGTCATTATAGCTGATCCGGCAGGATGAAAAGAAAAGTGACCCCCACTGGTACAGACACTGTGTCCAGGTTTCTGCAGCATCAGACTGGGAGGCTTCATGGACACATGGTTTTGAAAGAAGCTATTATTTTTGAGCAGACCAGATTTTAGAAACTCTGCTAATAATTTTTAAATTCAAAAATCAGTCTTTGTTTTTTTGGTAACAAAAGTAACATTGGAAAAACTGAACAATCTCAGCCTTTTTGCTCTTTATTTCAAGTTGAATATATTCATGAACTTTCCTGAACCACATGATTAAATTAGTTTTCCTGGGACTATGTAAGCTAGTGAATTACTACAGATATCAGGAAAGTGTGGACCTTGCATGTGGACTTATCACTGTGGTACAGTTAAGGGGACATCTCACTTTAAAATGTTCAACATAAGTTGAGCTATTTAAAAAAAAAAAAAACATAAGAAGAACAATGTATTTACCCTGAAGTATGGAGTCCAGCTGCACTTGCTGTACTGTAGGCAGGCAATGGCTTAACAAAAGAAATAGTTTTGGTGTATTTGAAAAATTGGGATTTTTTTCTAAAAACAGTGTTAAAAGATTTCTTTCCTAGCTAGTATAAAATGTGAATAAAATCAAGACCTGTCTCACTTGAGGTCATACGATGCTTATTTGAATTTCTAATCTACCTCTGTGTTCCCAGAAGTAACTCTGGTAGCTCAGTGGCTTCTTTATTATCATCAAAGTAACAGAGGAAAGGGAAACTACTAGGTATTTTTAGGTTGTAAAAGACAAAACTATTATTCAAAGCCACCACTAGAATATACATACTTGATAAGCCAACTTGCTTAACCAGTGTACTTCTATTCCAGAATTAGCTCTCTATTTGTGTAGAAGTGAAAACATATCGGAAACACAAAATGTGCTTATTTTTTAAAATACTTTTGAAGTCCATCTACTGCTTGTAATGTCAGCTCTGCTTACAAAGGTCATGCTGCACCTTAAACAGCTTCACCAACTTTTTTTTTTTTTTTTTAAAAGAAGTTCCACAGTGCTAATCTAGACTTAAAACAATGTCCACACTTTGTTTTCTTTAAGTGTATCACTCAGAGACAGCAAAATGCTTTCTAAGCACCCTGTCTAGGAGCTGCAATTTCCACGATCATCGTATTTCAGGAAGGTGCCCCAGCCTTTTGTTTGGCGCTAGGCAAGCAGAAGGTCCTCTAGCTGACTTTCCAAGGGGTAAAAAATGTAAATGAGCTTGTTAAAATGAGAGTGAGCCCTTCAGTCAGACTGTATCATTGCGTGTTAGTGAAATTTGTTGTTGTTTTTTCTTGGAGATTTCATTTACTTGCAGAAAATTTGCTCCCACTTCTTGTGGAGTAGGAATAATACTGCTTTGTGTCTTATTAAGTCTAACTCAAGTGTCCTAAAAAATGCAAATTTTTATGTGATCTTCCCTCAAATGCAAGTAAATCTGACTTAGAAATTAATTCTGAGTAAAAGCTTGACTCCACACCCAAGATCAGCCAAACCTGTATTTGCTGTAGAGGATGGAAATGAACTATGAGTGGTTCTCTTCTGAAGTTTACTTCTAAAATCTTTCCTAGTTTTGAAGATGCTGGGTTGAAAAGACCCAGACTATTACTCTACTCCTTCTCACTCTCTTGTTTTGACTACTCTGCTGCAGGAAGGGTTGCACGTTAAGAAAACACTTTGTGGGGGAGTCTTCTGCAATGGATTTTTGGTTTGTGTTTTAGTGCTCTTTGAGCTTAGCCAATTATGGCTTCTAGGTTTTCTTTTTGAGAGCTGCTGCTGAGGTAACTTGTCTGGGCATTAAATAAAAGAATAGAGAACAAATGCTGCCATTGTTTCAAGGGGAAAAAATCTGGTTTTCCCCTCTTGACAACTTTAGGTAGAATTATACCTGATAGGGAGTTTCTGGCACAAACTTCCAACATGTAAAAACATTACTTGAACACTAGATAAAGTTTCAGTAGTTTTGTTTCTTTCCTTTGTAAAGGAGTTGTTTGCTCATATCCTGATTACTAAGTTTGCTTCTCAAAAAAATAGAAAAAATGTGAAGCTGTAAGACTGTTTGGATTCTTACAGCTCATGAAAGGCAAAAGAGAGTTTGTGATTTCATAAGATATGTACTGAACACTTTTCAAGATTCCTGCCCTGAGTGGTATTTGACTGCTTTTAAAAATAAATGCAAGCAATCACATATTAATTCTTCCGCACATTCCTGCGCTTTGAAGTGATTAAGGAAAAAACTTAAGAGCTAACTAGCCATTAGCATCCATGCTTCCTGCTCCAAGGAGACAAAGATGGCCATCTCCCAACTGAAGCCACTTCAAATAACTGCAACTGCAAAGTTTGCAAACTCCAGCAATTGCTTTGATTAGTCACCATTGCCTTACACAATATCGGGCAACTTTTAGCTACTGGTGACAGAGGGGAAAAAACCAAACCAAAACAAACACCAAAAACCCCAACCCAAATAAAGAAACTAATCTTTATTTTGTTATTGCTGTAAAATGTATCCACTTTATTTCTGGAGATCAAAGCTTGCTGTGAGTTTACTACAGAGTTTTTTGCCCACTGGGGGGTGGTACATGCTACAAAACCTGTGCTTTTAAGAGCCACAAGTCAGATGTTTTTTGCTGCTGTCCAGTCTTCTCAAGCTTTAATTACAACAAAGTCTCCTGGTGAGAAAAGCAGAGGCAGCTTGCAAAAAGAGGGAGTTATAAAAAAATAAAATAAACCGCTCTTCTAGAGAGTTTACAGAATTTCCCATGCTTATTACTTGCAGTATTTATCTGGTTGTTCTCCAGTTAAAATGGTGTAAGTGTACAAAAAAAAAAAAAAAAAGAGAATTAGCATTTTAAATATATTCCAAGGCTTGTCACTGTTTCTGGTATACAGGAGAAGCACAGAAGACAGGAAAAAATACAGCTTTTAGAAGTGATTAAATGTGGATCGAAAAATAAAAAAGCTTGATAGCAGCATGAAGTAGGATTAGAATAAACCCAGTGTATTTCAAGATAATTGGCTTTCTGTAAACCCAGGTATACCTTTTGTTTATAAAATATTTGAAGCCCTATCTTAAACAGGGCTGTATTGTATGGTTTTGGAATAAATTAAAGGAAACTTGAAGGTGGGTTTTCTTTTGAGGGAGGGAAGGGCACTGAAAGATCTTGAGTATGACCTAATGCATGGCATATATTGACAAGGAAAACACAGACTGATCTTTCTGTTTTATAGCAAATAATTATTTTCTTTATACACTTGAATTGACAAATGCATTTTTCAGTCTTATTCAAAGAAATGTTCATTAAGGCACAATATCCCCAGGCAATAGATGGTGAGCATAACTGATGCTTCTATTTTGTTGGGCAGTATATTTTAGACGAGGAAATTGGGGGCAGGATAATGAACTGTTTCTTTAAGTCTGAACATTTTCAGCCTCTTTGTATACTTCGTATAAAAGATGTACATGGAAATGCAAAATGTGAATCTTCTTGTTTCAAAGAGGCAAAGAGAAAATGCATTCAGCTAATATGCAGGAATAAGATTTAACTGTAAAGTAATTCTGCATTTTGGTGTGAATCTGGTGTAGAAAATATTCCACTGTACTCTGTTAACTAACCAGAACTGATCCCTTGCAGAAGCGAAGCGACTTGCCTTCAGCCTGAATTAATAACCCGTTGGTAACAGCATTCCATGAATTAGTTAATTACATACACTCGTCCTCGCGTTTGCAACACTCCTTGCAACTTTGCCTGGATGTGCCAGGGTTGAGCTCAAACCCCTCTGCGGTCTGAGAGATTAAAATTGAGGCGACCTCAAAGAGCAGGACTGAGCCAGAAAGGCAGCTGTCTGTGCAAGAGCTGAGCTTTTATTCGCCGAGGGGATGAGCTTGGAAACTAAGCAGGAATCCAAAAAAAGAACCAGCCAACCAACCCCAAAATCAGAAAGCTGTGCCTGGTTGCTGTGAGCTATGGCAGATGCTGGGAAGCAAGACCACTACGGTGGGAAATGCAGGAATACTTGGGCTCTGCCTGATCAACTAAGTTGCAGCTCCTAATTGCATTTGAGGAAGAGGGTTAAAAACAAAAGATTTTGGAACATCCAGCAGTATGAAACGATTTTTGAGTTCAGAATCACGTAGAGATGAGGTGTGCAACAAAATACGTAGTGAATTATTTATTTGCAACCCATTTATAAATTAGCTGTGCCTGTATGAGGGCACACAATCACTTAATACACTGAAAACAGCAGAAAAGTTGATTAGAACTAGGCGAGGACCTATGGAATGGCAGGAGGATTATGAGCCAGCTCTTCTTCCCAAAGCAAGTGGGGCGTCGGGGCGGGAATTTGGGCCTGTTGCATTCTTTCTGTGCAACCATTTTGTTGCCCATCTTCTCGCCCGCAGACTTTGTGGTGCGGGGGACAGCGCTGCGCAGGGGCGCGAACGCATCGCTTCGATTTATTTATTTTTTTTTTTAAATAGATGCAGCAAGAAGGGATGGAGGGAGGGGGAACTTTCCCAACCGTGGGAGCGATGCGGGTTACGCGCAGGATCCCCCACCACCATCCGCGTTAAAACGCGCGGCCGGGTCCGAGCGCCGCGGGGCGCGGGCGCTGCTCTGCGGGTGCCCCGGCGCGGTTCTCCGCCCCCGCGCAGGGCGGGTTAGCGCTGCCTCCTTCTCCCGGGGCCGGGGCAGCGCAAGCACCGCACGCCCAGCCCGGGGAAGCCCCGGCTGCGCTCCAGATGTGCGGGCTAAGCCCTCTGCGCTCCTGCGCGTCGCGCTGCGCACCCCGCCGGGAGGGCGGGCGGGCTCTCCCCGCCGCAGCGCCGTGCCCGCGCTCCGGCGCTGGGAAGCGGGGGGTGATGTAGGGAGCGCGCCCAAACTTCCCCGCACATCCTCCCGCTTCTCTGCACCCCCCGACCCGCGCAAGTCCCGCGGAGGAGAAGGAGCGGTTACCCCGCGCTTACCTGCGGAGAGGCGCGGAAGGGGCGGTGCGGGCGGCAGTGGCGGCGGGCTCGGAGCTCGGAGCGCGGAGCTGAGCGCGGTGCGGAGCGGGGCGGCCGCGCACGGAGCTCCGCGCGCCCCTCAAGTCGCGGCGGCAGCGGCGGAGCCGCGGGGGCGGAGCCGCACGTCACGGGGGGCGGGGCCGGGGCGGGGCGCGGCGCGGGGCCGCCGCCAGGGGGCGCAGCAGGCGGCGCCACGGCCCCGCCGGGGGCGGACGTGGCTCTCCTTCGGGGGAGGTTTTAAAAGTATTTTTTTTATCCTGTTTGACGTGGCAGAGAAGCAGTGGTGCCGCTGGTGGTCCTCTTCATCCCCCATTTCATCCCCCAGTGCCCCATTTTGGGCTGGGCAGGTGATCCAGTTCCCTAGTTTTGTGTCCAAGGACCAGGACACGCCGCGAGTTTCACGCAAGGGCTTGAAAAACCCTGTTTAAAACATAAATTAATTCATTTCCTCAGTCCCGCTCGCCACATGGCATCTCCCTGGCATTGCAGGCTACGGCAGCTTTGGAAGACTGGAGGTTTTTCCCGAGGTGACTCCTTTAGGAATCATCGAGTGGGTAGGAACTGCCTGGTTCCTTCTCCACCCAGGAGATATCTTATCATCCCCAGCAGGACTGAGACTGACGGGAATCAGGGCCTGGCCAGTCCTTAGGGATTTTCACTGAAGTTTCTGCCCTTCAAACACAACCAGAAATGTATGGTCGTTAAAGGGCAAAGAGAAAACATCTTCCCCAGGCGTTTTATTCATAAAACCCAGTTTTCTTTCCCATAGCGTACAAGCACACAAGTAGCATTAGTTTTGGCAGATCAGGTAGATGTTTCTATTGTTTTGGTTTTTAAAAATTTTCCCATTAAATGGGGCATCTTTCCCAGCAGACAGCTGCTGCATTCATGAGCATCCTGTTCTCTTCATTAGCCGTGCACAAATGATCTTGGCCACCTCATGCAGGGTTTTGACCAGCACAGAGTCACTGTCTGGGGGAAGGCAGACCCCTGAAAAGTGGCTCTGCTGATGCTAGTTATCCTCTACTTGCACTTTTTGCTGTATCAGAAGACTACAAGACCAAGCTCCATTGATTTCAAAGAGGACTCGACTTCTGTAAATCCTATAGAAACTGCCACGTAGGTGCACCTTCTGTGTAAAACCTGAATACTTCAATTGCTGTTGATAGCTTTTGTCAAAAATAAAAAACCAGATGAACTTAAAAGTGTCAGACCTCATCCTTTATCAAGAGGATTTTATTAAATTTTTGAATGCCACTTGATGGATTTGATACTTAGGTATATGAAATGTTATGTACATGCTGTATTTATTCTACTAATTAAAAAAAAATCTAGATTGATTTTTCTTTATAAGGAAGGAAAGGATTTTTTCACTGCCACTTCAATTCTAATCTTTCCCTGAGAAGAGTAAAAACTAATAATAAATTGACTTCAGGTTAAGGTGCAATTGTCTGTATTGATAGTCCTGGCAGTGAGCTGTGCCCTAACCAGCTCAGAATTGTATTGCATATACATCTTAATGCACATCTAGCACATTATAGCCATATGGACACATGTACTATAGGCATATGTATATGTATTATATGAATGGTGATACATCTGGTACTACAGCATGGCTGTATGTCATCATGTGAGACAGAATAGTGGGCTGTGGAAATACTAAGAGTTTGGAAATGCTGCAGCTATCCTGTTTGTTTTTTTGTTTTTTTGTTTTTTTGTTTTTTTTTTTAACTGAGATTCCTTTAAGATTACAGTAGTACTTTTCAAAAACACTGTGTATTTGGTATTTCTCAGCTGTATTAGGTAACAGATTCTAGGGTTATATTGTTGTGCCATGTTGCTAAGCCTTAACACAGATCTGTGGGATGCTCATAAAAGATGTATATGGTACTCATCCAGCTATCTCTCAGCTTAATTACAAGGCTGGCCCAGTGCTTATGGCACTGGTTAGAAATTACAGTACATACTCCTAAAGAATTCCAAAGGGCATGTGAAAAATAATTACATTTTACCAGGTCACAGCTGCTCTGGAGTACTGAAAGGTCTTTAATGTGCTGTTGCAAACAGACTTTTGACTGTATTCTTTGATGTAAACTCCATAAATATATTTCTTAAGAAGGTGGATAGCCTTTAAAATACTCTTCATAAAAAATCTCTTGCACATGGCCACATTCTCCATATTTTTCTTAAAATGTAGGAATTCAAGGTGTCCTCAGTTCCAAGAGAATGGAGAAGTTCTGTTAAAAAGGATGAAGTTACTCAAATGTTGGGAATAAAAATATGAATATTTAACACATAGGCGTGTTTATATTCCTAGGTGTGCCAAAGCCTAGGAATATAATGAGATATTTTAATTGAATTTTTAAGTTAAAATAATGTTTTACCTGTATTTTGTTTATAGAATTAATTAATGCTCATGACACTGAGATTAAAGTTCTTGTCAGACCTACAGGGAAATTACCTTTTGGAAGACATAGTAATCTTGTTAATGCTTCATGAGCTGAGAGAGTTGAGAAGGTGTCAGGTGGGAAATTCAGAGTACTCACACTGCATACTGTGTTTCACAGAATTTTGTGCAGGTTTCTAACATGCTCTTGAAAGGTGCTATTAGGTCAGTGTGGTAATGATGATGCCTTTTTTTTTTTTTTATCTCCTAAGCATCCCGATGGTGTGATAAGAATTGAAGTTCTGGGAACTCCCTCAGCCAAGAGTTGACCTGAATGACTCTCCCTGTGACTTGACAGGCTTTTTGGATATACTTTGTCCTGCTGTAGATCAGGTTCCAGTCATATACATTTCCGGGCAGGACATTTATGAAATATTGAGAAACCAAACACCTTGACTGTGAAAGTGAAATTGAATCTGAGATCACTCATCCTCAGTGAAGGAGAGGGCTGGCTGTCTTCAAGAATCAAAACTGACCCCTTGCTTTGTTGAGCATCTCAGGGACAGATTTCTGTCAGATAAAGCTGAGAGTAATGGTTTGATATTCAATAGAATAAGCTGAAATGAATGTTAGTGGGTATTAGCTTCAGACTTTTATGAGGTTATATTGATTTTCCAAAGCAAGCTGTCCCAAATCCAAGTTAGGCATGGGCTGATTTGTGGAGTCATGTAAGGAAAGAGGACACTATGATATATGAACTTCAGTATGATACATGTTCTGTAAGGTTTCCTGATATTCACTAAGTAGTGTTTCTCAGCAAATACATATTGCAGTTTGTATTAGACTTTAGTCTTTAAATGATCAGAATAATTTCAGAATTAGAATCCAGTTTCGGATATATTCCTTCCAAGTACAAATGTCTGTCAAATTCATCTTTCATCACTGTGTATGTACATAGAGTACCTTGTCAAAGTTGGTGCAGCAGCTCTGTATCAAATGCGACAAAAATGGGAGTGTAATCATGCAAGGCAGTCCACAGCAGAGCTAGAAATGAAGAGTCTAAAACTAAATACTCGTTTAAAAGTAGGTGGGCTCAAGTGTGCTTCTTTCTTTTCCCCTGCCAGAGGAATAATAGTTGTGATTGTGGCTATTTCATTTGTCTGTAAAGGCCAGAAGGTTAGACTGCTGTACCTGTATTTTCTTCCATTCCTCCCTCTTCTCTCCATGCTTTCTCCTCATTCTTCTTTCCAGCTCTCCTAAACAGCCCCAGGGAAAAGCCCTGTCAACTCAGAACCACTTGTGATGCAATCACATCTGTATTTTCCCTAAGGCAAATAAACAGCTTTGCTTGTGAGATCATGTGCTATGGATAGCAAAATTAAGTAACTTAATAGGGCACTTGAAATTGCAAAGCCTTTGAGTACAGTATTTATTTTTTATTATTTACAGGACTTGATGCAGTGGGTAAAGAAAGCTGACTCCATAAAGTCCATTCCAGGAAAGTTTGCTCCTAATGCTTAAAGTGAATATTTATATTTAAAAAGCAATTTCCTCTATTTGTTAGATGTCAAACCATGAAAACACCATGACAACATTTTTAGGAGAAACAGTGCTAACTCCTTCGCAGCTATGAAGAACATGGAGTTTTTCCTTGCTTACTTGACAAAGTAAGGAATGCTGTCAGAACACAAGAGACTTTCCTTTTGCTTGATGTGGCTTTGAAAGTGTGTTAAAGGGAGGAAAAATAATGTTCCTCCAAAACAACCTTGAAAACCTTAGCTGAGATTGTTAGTAATGTCTAGTGTGTGTGAGGAAGAATCCTGTGAAGGAAAAAACCTGCTGTTCTGCCCTCAGGGTAGAGTTCTGCATTTGCAAATTCACATTTTTATGGATGAAGCATATAGTGAGCTGAACAAAGTGGTAAATGCATTTTTACACCTGCCTCTATAAAAAGGGTTCCAGTAGTACAGAAATACATAAAAAAAAACCCTGAAAAAATGCAACCTGAAACCTTCTGAAATGGCAGAAAAAAACCCCAAAAATCTGGTGCCATTTTGGTCTTGAGCTCTTTCTTGGAACTTTGTTTGGAACAGCTGCCCAGAGCCAGCCTTCGAGGATAGAGAGATATGCAAGGCAAGGGTGATCTGGGGCTTGCTAAGAAGGGGCTTGGGATGGATGACTCCTTTCTGTCCATGTTCCTTTTTTGCCTGTTAATGTTGGAACTCATTGCTGCTCCTGCTGATGCCTGTTTAGATACTGATCAGACAATCAGTTGGGCAAAATTCTTGTTTCTTGTTTTATATTCATATGCAGTTTTTATAAATCTCAGTTCTTCATAGGTTTATTCTGAAAACTTGAAAGTCACATGCTTTCTATTTGCAGGCCATGAAAGTAGTTCTGGTCCTTTCTTTTTGTTTTTACTTCCTGATAGCCCCAGATGATTTTCTGCCTTTGTCTTTCCTCTCACTGTACTTAGCCTCCCTCTGCCAGGCTTTTTGCATATGCCCTGCTTCTTATCCACCTCCTCCCACAGTGCCCAACAGTTGTTTCTCCACACGTCAACCCACATGGAAACATTCACATTCCAGCTTTTTTTGCATTCTGCATTTTTTTGTGCATTGATTTTATGCCGGGAGAAGCTGCTTCTGCTGAGCTCTTTTCTCTCCCTTATTGTCCTTCTTTGGCCCCTGTTACATGTTAGAGAGTTTCCTATTTTATTTCCTTCT